ACACTTTGGGCCCCTTGGTACCAATTGAGCATCGTTGCAACGCCACCGCCTACCTGAGTATTGTTGCTGACCATGTCCATCCCTTTATGACCACAATGTACCCAACTTCTGATGGCTACTTTCAGCAGGATAATGCGCCATATCATAAAGCTGGAATCATCTCAGACTGGTTTCTTGAACATGACAATGAGTTCACTGTACTCAAATGGCCTCCACAGTCACGAGATCTCAATCCGATAGAGCATCTTTGGGATGTGGTGGAGCGGAAGATTCGCATCATGGATGTGCAGCCGACAAATCTGCGCCAACTGTGTGATGCCATCATGTCAATATGGACCAAACTCTGAGGAATGCTTCCAGCACCTTGTTGAATCTATGCCACGAAGAATTGAGGCAGTTCTGAAGGCAAAAGGGGGTCCAACCCGTTACTAGCATGGTGTACCTAATAAAGTGGCCAGTGAGTGTATATTGACTCATATTCATATGTACCATGGAAATGGTCTTTTTTTTTCACAAACAGCACGCAAATATTGCTGTGAGCATTCACTCATACTGAACAGAGAGCTCAGTTATTCATTTGGCTGCCTCTCCGAATCAACTGCTCTTTGTGAGGACAAGGAGCGGTTGACTCTGAGGGTGTCTGAAGCCTTGCGGCGGCCGCCCACGGTCACCAACCCCGAGGCGGGAACCTCAACCGTCGAGCTGGGAAATTAGCAAGGCTGAGGCTGGAGAGCTGTCATTGTTCAAGTGAACGGACCTGGTCTGAGGGACATGCGTTCCTGAAAATGTTTATCCCAAGATTCACTATAGTACACAGAGGTGGGCATTCTGTCAATACTGATGAAAAGTCAGTATTTACAAAACCTTGTCACTTCTCCTGAGGCCACAGGACAGTGCTCGCTACGCCCACCCTTCGCACGGGGCCCTCTGACCCCAATGCAGCCGCCAACTACTGCTGACTGCTTTCAGTGGGCGCTGGCCACGTCATCTCACCCGAGTGAGGAGCAGCCCACGAGTGTCAGGAGTCTCCGGCGATGTCAGTGTCGTTGGATCAGCCGTTGGTAAGATGGTCCGCATCGGCACTCAGCAGGGTCGCCTGGGAAACCCCCATTACCTCTATCCCCTGCCGGTCCTCCGTCGAACCAGCGCTCGTCGCTGTGGCTGTTGGAGGTGATGCTTGACAGTGTTTTGCTGCTGGAGGGGCTGGAGGACTGGTTCTTACCCGATGAACATGACCGGGCAGGGTCACATGACTAGTGGAAACGTGAAAAATGTTTCCATTACGTTTTTGCGATATACTTCCATTTCAATACATCTAAAAAAATCACCTTATGAGAGCGTAAAAATGTTTTTGCAATATTTGAGTGTTCTTATAAATTTACCGTGGCTAAAAAGGGGTCTTGGGCCTCTGGCATGAGTCAGCCATCCCCCACTATAAAAGTCATCTTCTAGAATTTTATCCCATATCCACAATTCCACGCAGGATCTCAACAGCTGAGTCTTTATGATCAACAGTTCCCTCATCAACTCTCTTCTCCACCCAACTGCCAAGGTTTGTGATTGCACCAGTGGCTTCATTATGGCTCTTAGCTGCTTTGTCAGCTGCCAGTCACAGACACGTGTGTTTAAAGACACAGCTGTGCCTGTCTAAAGCTACTCAAGATACTACAAAATCATGATGAGGTTAAAAAGATTAAAACAAAAACAATAATTCTACCCGAAATGAGTTTATTCAGGAAGTCTTCCGCAATCACTGGAGAAGACAAATAATTAACACATGGAGATAAAAACAAATTCATACCAGGAAATAAGTTGTGCTGAAAAGAAGCTTGTGATTTCAGTCTGTGTGCATTTGGTACAATGTTTCAACATGAGCATTAGACAATTAACACCTCTCACCCCAAACCCACCTCTGCAAAGACTTAGCGTTAAGGGTTTAATCAGATTATAAAATCACTCAAATCTTACAAAGCACATCACGACATTTCAAGAATTCTGTACACATGAGTTTTTCTGTTTTTTTTTTTTTTTTTTAATGAATTCCTCCAATTCAACACATTTACAGCAGACAGATAATTTTCCTGGCCACGTCTTCATTAAAACGTTTATCCACATATTTAGGGCAATGAGTGTATGTTCGCAATAAAATGTCTTGTCTTCAAGCACCACACCACATTTTGAATGGCAGCTGATGCATATGACATAGTATAATCTATTGTCGCTAATCTTGTACTGCTTTACAGTACCCGGGAGAAGTCCTCTGGCAATATCCTCTCTGTCTCACTTGCCTCAAAAGTCAATCCGATCCTGAGTGGTAATTCTCAATGAAAAGTCCTTTTTGACATTTGAGTTTCAAAGTGAGAATGTTGTGCTCTTAGACTTCAGCAAGTGCTGCGACCAAACGACATCACTGCAGACGTGGCCAATACTGTGACACGTCTGTTTCATTTCCTGGAACTTGGACTGGAACGGAGACTCCTGGAGAAATCAGACCTAACGAAAGAGGTAATAACAGATTTGTGATTAGAAGCCACCTTAAAGAAGAAAGGAGAGTAAAAGGCTGGTGGCAATTTTCTACAAGTAATCATTCATTCACTCATTTTCCGAACCGCTTTATCCTCACAAGGGTCGCGGGGAGTGCTGGAGCCTATCCCAGCTGTCGGCGGGGGGAAACCCTGAACCGGTTGCCAGCCAATCGCAGGGCACACAGAGACAAACAACCATTCACACCCACACTCACACCGAGGGACAATTTAGAGTGTTCAACCAGCGTGCCATGCAAGTTTTTGAAATGTAGGAGGAAATCGGAGTACCCGGAGAAAACCCACACAGGCCCGGGGAGAACATGCAAACTCCACACAGGGAGGCCGGAGCTGGAATCGAACCCGGTACCTGTGCTCTGTGAAGCCGACGTGCTAACCACTGGACTATCGGGCCGCCCCATTAAAAAAGTATCGAAGTGAATTGCTGTAGGTTCATAAGTCAAGTGCCTGATCTTTTTTAGGGCAGACTGAAACTAATTTGTAAATCCAAATGAAGTCAGTTCATAGCACGATACCTGTTGATGTAGCAGAGGAGGTCAATGGTTGGTTGTTCATGTGCTGTTGCACGTGTGGAGGAGTGTAGGTCTCATAGCTTCTTCCATTTACCGGTACACCTGAGCTGGTGGGCAGCATGCATGAGTAAGATGTTTGACAAGATTCCTGAAAGTAAAAATGAAAGAAATTCATGAAATTACATTCTCAAAAAGGGGGCCCCACAACAAAATAGATGCACTCATCAGAGGCGGGCATTCTGGATGGAAGGTCCGACAACCAGAGCAATGTTTGTGTGTGACATTGGTTACACACAGCATGTGTGCATTTCTGTCTTGACGCATTTTTCTTTCCTTCAACCACGTGCCAAATAAACATTTTCATTTCTTTAAACAATAACATGAAAATACAAAATATAAGTGCAGCTCAGGTTCAATTTTTTTTTTTTTTTTTTACCAACATGTTGAACAGTTGTAAGCAGTATTTATACTTTACATACTGTATGTGAGACAAAGACTAACAGCAGTACACGTATTTATTCAAATCGTTAATTTTAAAACCCGAGACAGTAATGAACAGTCAGCATTGCCTTTTGAGAAAGACAGAAGGGGTGTTCACACGGCAACATTTGCTCCGGTGCTACGCCGGCACTGCACCAATGGAGCGGTCACACATGCATTTTTGCTCCGGCGTAGCCCCGAAAACAGCTTACACCGGACCAAATTTGATCCACCTCAGGGAGGTGGTTTAAAAATTTGCTCTGGAGCAAATGCTCGTTTGCGGAGCAGCACCGATGTAAATGTGCACATGTGAACTCTCCAATTTGCTCTGGAGCAAATGCTTGTTTGCGAGGGGGAAGTAGCCTCGCTACGCATGAGAAGAGTTGATTACGTACAGCGAGAATGTGTTGCTTTCGTGCTCTGTTGGACTTCCGTCATGTGTTTGTTTAATAACGACACAAGACACGGCTGGTAACAGTAGCAAGCACCTCTTGGGTTATACCATCTCAACTAGAACAGGGGAGTGGGGGTGGGAATAATCCCCAAACGTCATCTTTCCTTTTATAGGAGACTGGACTGTCTCGGAGTTGTTTGTGTAGTTTGTTCCTTTGCTGTGTGTTCACAACCCCCCGCACCCCATAGAATTTATTTTGTGATTTCCTCTCTTATTTTTCTGTTTGGCGCATTACATGTTTGCTTTTCTGAATGTCACTGAAGTCATCGTTGATTTACGTTTTCGGGGGCGGTCACTCTCGAGCTGAAGGCACGGAGACCGAGAAGGAGAAGGACGTGCCTGTACAGTAGTTGCTTGAGTTGTGTATAAGTTTTAAAAAGAACCAACATGACAGCTCATTTATTTTCTGTCGTTTTGCTCCGCTGCAGAAACTGCCGTGTGGCCGCAAGTGGAGCTGCACCGACGCTGCGCCGGTGCTGACACGCTCAGCGGCTTTGTACGTGTGACCGCTCCACAAAATTTGCTCCAGAGTAAAATATATTGCAACAAAATACATCGGTGTAGCGCCGGATCAAATGTGTGCCGTGTGAACACCCCTAGAGACTGTGTGACTTTATGCTCTGACAGTGTAGCCATCGTTAGCCTCCAGCTAGCTCCTGGCGCAGCCGATGTGTTTATAAGACAATTAATCGGTATTGATGACGAGGAGGCGAAGAGAGATGTGTTGCTTTTTTTACAGACAAGCCCAATCACCCCCCCACCCCCCTTCTCTCTCTCTCTCTCTCTCTC